GAATTATTCGTTCTTATATAGTTTCATCATTATCAGATGCATAAAAAAAATGAAATAATGATAATTAATTTAAAATAAATTAAAAATTAAAATTATTTTGAGGCAAAAGGGAATATAAAATGAAGTTAAGATCAAAGTGCAAAACCATACAATGTTTTCCATATCAAAGAACTATTTGTAAGTAGAAAAAACTCGATTCATCTTAATCAAATTCTTGAGTTTAAGTTTTATAAATAAAAAAATAGATATCAGAAGAGTTTCCTTTTATAATGTCCAACCCAACTAACTTTGAATTAGTTGGAGTTAAATGGAACTCCGAATACCAAAAGTTAACACCAAAAAATACAATGTCTTCCATAACCACCTTAAGTCACTCATCCCCAGTTGCCCACCCACACGGACCACCCTAAACAATATCTGCCTTTTTGCGCCTGTGAATTGTCAATTATTTCAAGCACTCAATTGGATGAACCGCCCAATCCATGCAAAGAAGCATGCCAGCAATTCAAAAAACTCTCTCAACAAAAGCTAAGTAACTATTAAACGTCCCCACAGTAATCCATTGAGTGGTGAGTCCAAAAATTTTCTAATGTCTATTAAACTCTGAAACATATGCCATTGCAATGGTGATATTTTTTTAAAATAAAATGTTACTTTTAGTATTTTTTAGATTTTCATTTGTGTATTTTAATTAGGATTAAAAAGTTCCATTAGGTGTATTTAACATAAAATATGTTCATTTGTGTATAGAGGCGACCTAAGTGCCTTACCCCAAGATTTAAAAAACTAAAAATAAAAAGGTGAACCAGGCCTTTAGACCCAATGATTCGACTTCAAGCCTTAAGTGCTTGAGTGAGGTGATCAGAGTTTCAAACTCTACTACCGTCATGAATTCTACCAAAAAGTGGCTTGATGGCCGCACGCCTCATTTAAGGAGATGAAATGTTCGCCCAGTCTGGGGATCGAATCTACAATTGTTAACAACTAATTCATACTAACTTCCTAATAATTTATCGTTGTCAAAAATAAAAAATAAAAAAGTATTAGAGAAAGATTACAAAGGAAAAGTGGTCCCCTACCCTAAACTTTTTCATAAAGACTAAAAAATAAAACTAAAAAAAAAAAAGTCTAGAGTTAGGATTGAAAAGGGTCCTATCTTCAACCTTTCTCTAGGTCCGCCCCTATTCGTGTGTGTGTGTCTGTGTTTGTTTTTTTTTTTTTACCAGTAACCCCTAGTTGTGTATTTAACCTCTAAGATTAGGTGCTTTTCAAACCTTTCAGATTGGTTGAATAACCCTGTGGCATGCTTGAAATTTAACTGTACTGCATATGATATGTAATTGAAAGATACAAGTCTCATTAGATGTGATTTTATGAGTTAGATATATTGCTAAGTAAATATTGTTTTTTAAATTAAGTTTAAAATTTAAATTTTGATATTAATACTTTAAAAAATTAATATTCTTTAAAATACTAAATTAATATAAAATGTGCATTTAAAGAAAAATTATTTTTAAAATACATAAAAACTACTTCTTTGTTTATTTTTAGTAATCTTAATTTAAATTTTT